CAAGTACAATAATGTGGATTAAATTAAACCTGTTATAAACCCATAAAAGAAATAAAGAACCGTGCATTACTGAGCAGTGATAAACACAACTATCTCTTTAGATTATGTGAAATAAATTTAAGGAAGATTAGGTTTTCAATTCCCACTACATCTTAATTAATTTTGCTTTTTTTCTATTGTTCTGAAAATCAAAGACGTAAGTAACTCATACAGCAGATACCCCCAATTTAAAGACATTAACTTATTTGTACTTGGCTGTTCAATGTCCTGGCATTTTAATATCTATGGATAATGTAACAGTTGAAGAAAATTGGGTTTTTAATTGTTATCTTTGTGTGTTTTCTTAGGGCAACTCTAGCTAATCCACTGTAAAAAGAATCACTTTTTCTCTGACCAGTACTGTAATTCAAGGTGCTAATTTCCTTATGTAGATTTGAGCTACTTGAATTTGCAATCCCGTCAGCTCCTTACAGATGTGCTCTTTCAGAGTAAGAAATTCTTTACAAGGCCAACTTGGCAACACCCCGGATTTTACCTTCTCATTATAATGCTTCATTATAAAACCACTTGTACACAAAGAAAATGGATTACTTGTTACATAGTATTACTGCAAGGGGTAAAGAAAATTGTAAGCAAACTTCTTTAAAATGAATTAAACAGTCCCAAGGTTTCTGAAGTGGTTATCTATGTATGCTTTGCTCGAGTCTGACAATCTCACTTCTGCAAATCATGGCACATGGTATTTTTTCCTTAGGAGTAAGGAAAAAGCTTAGGCTGCCTAGTGAAAAGAGGAAGTGTTCCAATATTCTTCTCCGGTCAGTATTGCTCAGCTTTCCTTATTAACGGTAGCAACAGCAACATGTGTAGCATTACCAGATCTAGTAAATTACTCTTAAGTGACAAGTCCTTTTCAATGCCTTGAGCAGACCAGACTATCCAGGAGAAAGATCTTTGGATGGACTGCCTTCTCCTCTGCTCACAGCTGAGGTCAGAGCAACCAGCCATGCTGCTGAGATCAAAAACAAAGCTCTTCACGCCTCGGGCAGACCAGCCCAAAGTGGTTCCACTCCCCTTTCTGTCAGATAAGAAAGGAAAGGCATTGCTTTGCATAATGTTCATTCTCTCCTAGACCAGTGAGTGAAGGGAGAAGCAGGGGAAGGAGCACAGTTACTGAGACCAGTGGCAGCTGCCAGCTTCTCCAAATCTGGCTGGAACAGGAAAGCCGGGCAGAAATCATTTGATTCTTGAGATAGTGAGCTGTGCATGTTTCAGATATATCTCTAAGGTATACTGGCTTTTGACAATTCATCTTAGGCATGGCTTATTCTATGTCTCATTAACTCTAAACAAACACATACAAGCAATTTTTGAACATATAAATTTAAGATTGTCACTCCACCAGAATAAATAAGAAAATGAAGCAACTGGAATACCAAATACATCCAAATTATTCTTTAGCAAAAAATAGAAAAGCTTATATCATATGGCTACTAACAATCAGCTGACCTTACATCTTGCTGTCTCTGAACATTCTCAACATTATTTCCATTTAAGTCTTCATTTTTTTTCTCTGCTGCTGACAAGCCACTTTCTGCCCTCCCACACTCCTGGGACACAGCAGAGTCCCCAGCTAGCACAGATCGACTGCAGTCCTGAGACTATTGTTTACAGATAGCATTTTCTATTTTTCTGTGTTTACTGTTGTCAACAAAATTATCAAATTAAACCTGTAATTTCATTTTGGACAATTATTATGTTGTATTCTGTTGCTCATTCGGTTATCTGAAGGATGAAAGTAGTCCAACTATTATTTCATTTTTCCAGTTTTCAGAGGAAACATCCTTTAAGTATCTAAATCTAAGTATCTAAATTGACAAGAGCAGCAGGCCAATTGTATGCTCAGGAGCCACTATTATTCTCAGTCAGGTGTGCTGGGGACCAGGCAGATACAGCACTTTTTGCTATTTCCTACAGCTGACATAGCAAATCTTGCTAGACTGAAAGCAAAATCCTTTTCCCTGCTAATTGCTGATTTAGTGGCCTGCTGGATGGCTGGACAGCCAATTTTAAAAGTTAGAACTGGTCTTCAAGCTGTTAAACGGCCACCGCTTGCCACCAATATTCCTTAAAAATGTTTTATTTATGTATTTATTTTACTTTTATACTGCTAAAATTTAGCATAGCAAAAGCAATGCATAAGTGATAGCTATTACTCTGAATCACCACTTAAATGTGGCAATTAATTTTGGCAGTTTCTATGGCACATACAATAACTTTGTCTGTGTGCTCTTAAATGTTCCTAGACTCCATTCTGTACTAACCCAAGCCCTCCTCCTCTTCTTCTGTTCTGCTGTATGTTTCCAACCTAAAAGCTGTTGCGGGGCCTCTGTGCAGGCAGCGGAGAACTGTAGCAGTAAGCGGGCAGCAGCTGGCAGCAGGAAGAAAACCTTGATGTCTGTAGGTCTGGTCTGTGTTGCATGCTCAGCCTCTCACATCAGTTACCCCAAGTAAAACTCATTGCCTGACAGTAAGCTTAGATCAGATGGGGCACAATAAGAAAAACAACAAAAAAACAACCACAAAAACCTGTCAACTTGCATCTCCCGAGCAGTCTCATGACTCCTGAACATTGCTATGTTAAGTGTGAAACCACCTTTCTTATTTCATACTCAAAAAAAAAAAAAAAAAAAGTCAAAGGGAAATCTTTTAATGGATTTGAAGAGGGCTTTAATTAAACTACTGGTCATACAAACAACTTCTCCGTTGACCAGAGTGACTGAATTTAAGCTCAGAACTTGCAGACTCCCATTTTTACTATCTATGCTTGGCATTTTAGACTGACTTCTGCAAGATGCATCATGTTGTAGCATAGTTAACCCAAAGGACTGTACACGCTTTTCATTTTAAATACAAATTAATACCTTGAGAATAAAGGCCAAAAATAATGTGTATAAACTTGCTGAAGAGAGTAAACTGATCTTAAGTACATGAATCTTAAAAATGTAAATATATAAAGCAACATAAAACAAAATAGCACATTGTAAACAATTGCACAGAAAGTACTGCCTAAATGCTACATCTTAGTCTTATCCTGGAAGTCCATGAACAACTGGCATTCTGTCTGATAGAGATTTTTCCCTTTTTCCTCCTCCTTTCTGTCACTGACTGTTGGAAGACAACACTTGGTGATACCTTTTGCGTGGCTATGTTAGAATGAGAGCCGCAAGCAACACCAGGCTCTCTATTTTTTTTTTGAGCGGCTTTAGTTTGTCACGGTGTTGAACAGAATGACCACACTTGCATCTGTGTGCTGGTGCAGGATTCAAATTTACAACGGCTGCACGTTTATGAAAGATAACGGAAATCTTAATTTCCATATTTTGTTGCCATGAAGAAGGTCTGTAAGCATTCACAGTCTTGGAGAAAGGTTTCAACTTGCAGACCAAGCTCAGTGCGTCAACTGCAAGTGCAATTTAATCTCAAAATCACAAAGAAATTTCCACAGAAAACACAAGGTCTGGGGGTTAAAACCTTTGAGTATTAGGAATACACATTGGGCCATGCACGGAAATCTTTTTATATGGTGATTTTGAAAATGCATGCATTATTATTAGCGCATGATATGTAAATGCACTGGGCTGCTTAGTAAGCATTCAGTGGCACACATCTGCAGCTTTGCTAACGTACCTTTCATTCGTATGTGGTTGCCAAGGAAACAGGTTACGGCCCAGTATTGTACCTAAAATATACTGAGCAAGTAGTCTGTAGCAGTTTACTTAAATTAGGTCCAACTTGGATTTTGAAGCGTATTGCTTCTTTAAGTCCAGGTCACTTACGTTTATCTAATTTAAATGGTTGGTTGATTCATTTAAACTACCACTGCCATCTTATAGTCTCTAAAAGTCTGTTACCATTTTCTATGTCTTACAACACTGTCTATTAAAAGTAATCTACAGAAGACATTTTGATACGTTACAGGAATTCCAGAGATTTTTGCTGTTGTTGGTTTTTAAATTTGGTTCCTTATTCTGCATGTTGCCTGGTAGCCTTAATTATTATGTCTATTTTGAAATATCACAGGGTGGTCTTTGAGGTCCCTTCCAACCAAGCCAACCTATTATCCAACAAACTGTTTCCCAGTGAAGTTTGAGTGAAAAGTGCCACGGAAATCAACAAAAATTGCCGTAACGTAAATGATACTCTGTGATTGTATGCAAAAGACTACATTCAAAATTAATGAATTAATCAGTTTCCCTGATTATTTCACTTACTGCATACATACCTCAAATCTAAAGCGTAACTACCAGACTTAATTTAACCAAGGTGATGATTATTGTACATTCACAGTAAAAAGAAAGTAAACTTCCAGTATTTCCAGTAGATCTCATGTAAAATGTAAAACTCTTGTTTTGAAATATTTTTATCACAGTACTGCACTTGAATTTGTAAAGAGCTGTTCACAACTCACTATTAGTAGCTTTTTTGCTACCCCTGATTACAGTCATGTATTAAGGTAGAGATTAGCAGTTCTTAGTTGAATTATACACAACAACTGTATTAGAAATTGGTATCAGTGTAATGAGAGTTCCTCTACCTTTTCCATATGGCACAGATCGATAATGAACAGTAGTGACTGGGATCCATTGCCAGATTTAACGTTATGGCAAGCTCAGGAGGTTTGCTTGCCTGCCAGTACATTTGGAGGCTTTAAGAATCTGTAACAGCCTGTTTCAAACATTTATTCTGTTTGATTTAATTCTCCAACCTTTATAGCAACAGAAGCCCAGCAGGAGCAGAACAAATACAACAAAACTGCTACATGAGTGATGTACCATAGTGTGCCATAGTGAGAGCAGTCTTGTAAGTGATTCTTGGAAAGGTAGCTCTATAACCAAAGTCATGTAATTACGTGGTTTCAGAGGGTTACATATTTCAGTTGTATTTCTCTGTGTGTTTTAAAGAGATTTAGCTTGCCATGTTCACCCCATAAACTTACCCACCTAAAATCAGGCTGTTCCTCAGTAAAGTCTTTTAGAAGTGGTATCGACAGGTTTGTTCGGCAAGATCATCTCAGTAATTTTGTGAACTCTGTGGCTGTCAGTCAGCCTGCAAAGTGGAAAATCCAAATTTAATGACTAAATTAGTAGACAAGTACTGGTTTCCAGATACATTGTGTAATTCATCTACGTTTTTCTTTGCTGTGGGACTATAAACCTACGTCTGGGAGGACTGTAACGTACCAGCAATAAAGCAGTACTGTTAACCAAAGGATTATGAATGAGGCTTCTGCCTGCATTATTTCATTATGCTTTAACCTGCATAGTGTAAACTGGACACTGTATTTCAAAATATACCCTAAAAAGAAATCTAAGAATCATTTCAAGTTTAAAACCAATTATTTTATTGGGACCACTGAAAAAATTAGACTAAAGCCAAGCCTAGCTCTACTGCCCTTCCCCCATCTCAACTATTTACAAATTTTTCCCAACAGTTCTACCTGGTAACATATCAAATAATGAAGGCTTCACAACTTTCTAAGTCAGTCTATTCCCGAGTTTCACAAGGTAAAGTCAGTGGAAAAGCAGTGTTTCTAGGATTAGCTATCACAGCTTGCCAATTTAGAAAACAAATTATGGTGCGGGAAGAAAAAACTGTCATTACCAGTCAACTCCCTTGACTCCACCGAAATTGCCAAAACCAATTACGATTTATTCTTTATCTTGAAAGCCTCCATGCATTTTTTGCAGTCTTTCAGAAGGCCTTTTGTTTCTCCTCTTTCCCTTCTGCCACTTTTTTCTTTTTTTTTTTTCCTCTCTTGTCACAGCTATTATCACAAGACTTTTCTGGACACCTCTTGCTCTCTGGAATATGCTTTCTATAACTTCCTGCTTAAATGACTAATCGTTGTGAAACATCCAGATTTTATGTTACTGTACATCAAACACAAATAATGTTTTCATGTAGAAGTTTAAAATTATTTAGAACATGGCTGCGTTCCAAATATACTAAGCAAAATCAAATTGTTCCACACAGCAACTGAAAAACCTTTCAGATAAGGCACTATGACTGAGCTGACGGACATTTTTATTGCAGGAAGTAGACACAGATGCATCTTCATCTGCAAACATGTTATCCTGCTTTCGTAAATAACATACAGGAACTACAAGATCCATTACTTTGGCTTTAAAATGCAAAAATATGAGCTTTATACTTTAGCATTTACGTACTTTAGTACGTTTTTTAGTGTATCTTGATTTCAGTAAATATTTTAAAGCTCATGGATGCCTGTAACAAAGGCCAGAATGAAGGAGACTAACGTTAAGTCCCTATTATCTCAAACACCAATAAAGTCATCAGCACATCTATATACACAGATGACTGTTAAATGTTGTGCTGAATGGGAAACTTCAACACTGCACTGGAGGAATCCAGCGGTAAAGGGACTTCACCAAAGCTGAAGTATTTCCAAATTTGATAACAAATAGTATACATAATAAAGGCCCTTTTAAAACATAATGTAACAATTCCCCTGATAGAATACAACAGAGGCACTAGATGCCCCCAGAGGGTTGTTACCTGTTCTTTACTACCACAGCCCTGCATAATAGTCTGACAAATATTATCTCAACACATAGTTCCACACTGTGAGACCTGCATTTTCAAATCAAAATGAAGTTTAGAGCCAGAAGTAACCTTAATCAGAAAGGCTAGTAAAAAGCAAGCAAGATAACATCTAATTGAATGATTTTTCATTTCATCTTCTCTCAAGTTTTGTGTAGATTTTCCATTAGGCAGAAATGGACTTTGCATGGATAAAGCATAATTATTAAAAGGCTTCCGGGATAAAACGGTACAGAACCCCCATGCTCTCCCACAACAATAACATCTGAGAAGCTGTGCTAGAGGTGTGAAAAACCGCACCTGTTTCTATCTGCCCTGGTTGCCCCTTTAGCCAAAGCGAATAAAATGGATGGCATTTACACAACATTTTGTATTGTGGCTCTGGCTGCAATGTTCTGACACTGCATTAGATGGATTTAACTACCAAGCAAACCATGTAAAAGAGTCAAAATGAAAACAGCTTGCTAATTACTAGAATCCTCCTTAATAAATAATTCAGTTTCTTTAGCTAGAGATTACTGCTCATAGGCTGCCAGTGAGTTTTTCCAGAATCATGAAAACACTTGAGTCCAGTCATATTAATTACGAGAGGACTTGCACCCCCTAACGAAAGAGTAAATTTGCAAATAGATTTGGAACAAGCGTGGTGAAGCGTGCTCGTGTAACAGCTATGCGTTCTTTAAACGCTTGGACTGGATATATTTGAACACAAAGACAGAATAAAAACAGTTTAACTCAAAGCACCCTGTCTTCCCTAAAGATAAATATCAATGGCAATAAATAGATTGCTTCTGCATAGCATTAGCTCAGCAACTTCCTTTAAAAATAACCACACAAAATATAAACAAGGAAATGCAGTTTTGGGACCTACGTGTAATGGCGCACTCCGTGTCATGTTTCAGACTAAAAAAAAATCAATGGAAGCAAACTACTGGAGGTAAATAAATAAATAAATAAGAAATTAAAGCCAACTTTAATACATCACTGGGGAAATGCTGTTTATTACGTTTTCAGTTCCGTTTTTTTGGGTGGAACTGGAAAATATTGCACTGCATCAAACTTGTCTCATAATTATTAATCAAATGGGTTTTATTATCGTTATTAAGCACGGCCAAGATAGATGGCAACAATCATATTCCTGAACAGTTTTACTCTGCATCTTTATAATGTACTGAAGTGGTATATTTGGAAATAAATGAGGATTTGTTTGATAGTACTGAAACTGTCAAGGCTACTATTAATGTAACTGGCTGTGCTTCTAAATACCTCCTTTGTATTAATTTGCAGTGCTGGGTCCTCATCTGAAGCAAAATACTCTTAGTCATTTTAAAGTCAAGGACATGAAAGGAAAATGGCTACCCTGCTGCAAAAGTCTCGTTGCAGCAGTGAGAATTTCTCAAGTCACGTACAAAGGGGATTCACAAGGAGATGCACTACGTTATAAGTACAGTAGAGACACTTAGTAGCATCTGTTATTGTGGTACATGTAAGAATTGACTTCACTGATACTGTTAAAATATCGGCTAAAAATAGAATAAGGAATTATAATACTTAATTTTTGCAAAATCTGTGAGGTCTGCAAATCACCATAGAATACAAGTGAGCTTATTTTATAAAATCTTGCTTACAATCTTACACAAGTTCTTTTCCAGTATGGATAAACAGATCTTCAGTGCACCATCAGAATGTGTCCACTGTTTAAAGACAGATTTATTAGCATTCCCATGGCTGAATTCAGCAAAGGGGGAAGGAGGTTTAAACATACTTCTGATTTTCTACATTTCTCTGCTAATAAATGTTTCAGTGATACTTTTATATTTGTAATAATGAAACTATCACTTCATTTACACACAGTGCAAACTTTGACCTACATGCAAGACATTAAAAAAGGAAACTAGGGTACGTTTCTGGAAACAACCAGTGCAAAACAGGAATAAAATAGCTTTTTCTTGTGCACAGCTTCATAAACACGGCATCGTTTAATAAATGATGGCCGCGTGGAAACACAAAACAATATCAGATTCCCTCTTTGGACTGCAAACAAACCTAACTGTGACATTTCCATTTGCATTGTGGTATTGTTATTAAAGACTATAACTTCATTTTACATCTCCACTATCACATCTTTTAGAAGGATTTGGTTGCCAAGGAAACTGGTTCTGGCCCAGTATTAATCTGAAACAAACATATTACAAAAGTTGGTGTAAGTAGTACAATACTCAGAATTCTTTTTATCCTTAATGCTCAACATCAGGTTTTGCACCTAAGGTTGTTCAGCTTTTCTTTCGTAACCTTTTTTTCTGTGAAGTAAAACACACTGCAGTGAACTGATACACAGTGTGAGCTGACAGGGCCATCTATATCAATCTCTCTATATGAAGTCCTTCTACCTTAAAATAAAAAGGAATACTGAAGGTTCATGTTTGTAGCCAACACTGAAAAAATAAGCATGCAGCATATTAATCTTTATTTAATATTTCGCACAAAACGCAGAAAACCGCTCACAGCAATTGGAATGTTTTTCATTTTTCTTATCTCCCTCCATTTTTACTTTTGCATTTTGCTCAGTAATGGTTACAGTCAGCTCTACAATGTGATTGAATCAATAGGGTTTTCAAAAATTCTTTTGTTGCAGAAGCGTTGCCACGCCCTTAGTACATATGATTATTTTAACAGGCATGATTGCTCCACTTTCACAATAGAATTTTTCCAAAGCAGATAAAAACAATTGCCATGCCAGCATTTGAAACCAACAGTTTGACACAGTTGTTTTCATTAACAATTTTTTTTTTTTAATCTGAAAGCTACATTCCAAAGCCCATTTCATGTTCTTGCAACACTGACGAAGAAATCAGTAAAACATGCAAATGTGAACCTACCTGCGTGTATCACTCAGTGCAGTGCCAGCAGGGCAGTGCACCCAGCCATTTTTATGAAAAGCGATGGAGAGAAATTCTATTCTTGGTCTTCTTGATAAATTTTTTTAGAAGCTGTTGTCAAAAACCAGATGGGAAGCAGCTTGAATAGACCGTGATCAGGAGAACTGAGTTTATCAATAGGGAAAGCAGGAGTGGGGAAAAAAAAAAATGTCCTCATCCAAGGTTTTCCAAAACTGCAACGCAAGGTTGTTGTTTTTTTTTCTCCTCCTCAGAGTGTTCAGAGCTTGAAGCTGACCACTGCAAAGGCCACTTGTCACATTTACTGAAAATCAGCCTATTGATATCACAGCTGAAAATATAAACTCGACAACCAAAGCCCATTGCACAACGTGGACTGCGTAAGAGTTAAAAATAGATTCGACGTGCCTCCTACCTGCATAATAAATATGTAAGTTTCAAGTGCTTTAATTCGATATTCACATTAATTAACAATACAATATACATTATTTAAACTACAGTAAATGCAAGAAGAAAAAGGGTGACACCATCTGGAAGCACGGTTTGCTTTTTTTTTTCTTTCTTTTTTTTTTCCCCCTTTCCAAGGGCTAATAACGTAGTTTGAATGTGATGACAAGCTAACAGCTCACCACATTGCAAAAGAAAAAGAATTCTTAAGGTGATGCTCAAATATCTAAGCCTGTAATGAAGCACAAGCCAGTTTTCACTACTGCATGATATGGCACACAGACCATTTAACATACATTTGAGATACTAGGCACGGTATAATGAATTCAATACACAGCATGCACACAGCACAAGCAACGTTAATCCTGCCTGCCATTTTAGGCTCGCAGGAGTAAGATACATACTGCAGCACAGCTCTGGTAAGGGAGGAGGCAAGGGACAGCTCACCTTAAATGCAGTATCTGATTAATGTTGTAAGTGACATTGCGTATCAGCTACAGAGTCTTGGTTCAACTGGGTGGGAGGGAACAAAGAAAATTGTCATCAACTGGTGATGCAAGATGAGCTCCAGTCACTAACACTGTTAGCAAACTCCAAATTCTACAATGATACAGTAGTAGGCATTTCAAACTCTTATCAAAATCTGCCTGTGCAGTGGCTGAGTCCGCCTGCCGAAGAAAATCTTCTTGCTTATTGGAGAAAGGCTGGATTGACTACGGTGGCGTCCTGTCGATGCAGAAAGATGTCGTATCGCACATACTAAATCCTGGATGCTGTGCTTTCCTAATTTTTTAGTTTTAGAATTAAAAAATAAAAAGACTGTGATATAAAAATATCATAACTAAAGATGCAATGTTCACGAAAATAAAACATTCTTTTTCTTTCCTTTCTGCTTTTTCTCTTTTGCAGTCCATCAAAATCCTGAGCAGTATTGACAAACCACACAAGCACAGGGTCTGCCTGCAAGATCAGCTGTCTGTGTCTACGCTACACCCTGTTAACCACAAGCAGTGTGAGAGCTAAAAATATCTGCAATGCAGAAACGGTAGGTGCTGTGGTGTACAGTTCTGATCAATTATAAAAATATTTTTCTCCCCTCAGATATAACAAAAAAAGGAAAATTGGTGCTAATTTCCTTCAGATGTTATCCGTCAGACCAAAAAAAGAAAAAAAAAAGCATAAGTATACTGACCTAGATAGCACTAAGAAGACTTAAGCAGCATACAAGCACCCTCGCTGTCAAAGCAAGGAAAACGAAACAATGATTGTCTAATCACACTGAAAGCAGCAACTCACTACCACAATCCAAATTCCAAAATGCTCCATACAGTGTACGCACATCTCATGTTATTGGGAGATGCAAAGCTCCTTTGTTTTTTTCCTCAGAGGCTTTTCTTAGCTACGGTTGCACAATGACATTCTGACATCATGGAGGTCAGTACAGCTACTAAAGTGCTTCATTGTCTTTAGGAAAAAAATAATTTTGAGATATTAAACTACAGCTGCAAAAATAAAAATAATTTTTAAAATCATGTCTCATTTTTAACATCTTTTCGTTACCTTCTGAGATTAATACCACATGCACGTTGTTCTGCTGCATACGTTTAATTGGTATCGTCTTCTGCAGAGATTGTAATTCTGGGAATTAGATTTTTATAGATTAGGAGTGTTTAAAAAAAAGGCTGATTTCCTAGAATAACTCAAAATACATTAGAATATTTCATATACTTAAGGAAAAAAATGCAGAGCAAAAAAAAGAAAAAGAAAAATTGAAGACTGCTTATCAGAATTTTTTAAAATGCCTAATAAATAAAACCGTTTTTATTTGCATTGTCAGTGTATCTCCAAAGGGAGAATGAGAATCGTGCCACGGTTTATTATGACCTGAATTATTTTCCCAGAAGAGTAAACCAGCATTTAAGCTTAGACAAACCATAAGATCTGTTAATAGCGCAAATTATCCCCCACTCTCCACCGTCAGTGCCTTCTCACAGCTCCCTTCCCTCTAGCCCAAACAGCGCGAGCCAACATCCAATACACAGCCAGAATAGTCAACACTGCAGGCTGCTCTGAAAACATAAACTGAGAGATTTCTTTAGGTGACTATTTCTGAACGTATATATAAGTGGATATAAATGCTTTCTGATCAGCACTCGAACACATAGATTCTTGAGAGGCCAGATACGTACAGAGAAGCACTATTTTTCATTAGACCTGCCAATACAGCTAGGGAAGCAAGGCACCACATTTTCAAGGTTTCTTAGGAACCTAAGTATGCAATGATTTATTTTTTCTAAAGCAGTGCCTGTTTTTTAACAGTGAAAACTGCTACTAAGTATTGCATTAAATAAGAAAAGGTTGCAAAGCAACAACAAAAGATCACGGTATGTACGCATTAGATTTGAAATAGCTTCTTGTCAAAAACAGGCAATTTCCCCCCTTTTTAAAAATAATTTTATAGGTAGATATTCGGAGATTTTTCTCTGGGAAATTATTTGGCTTTTATTCTCTTTCATTTTACAGGCTGGGAAGGAGATGATCCTAGCAGTCAGTGCTTTAAAATATTCAGAATCCCCTTCCATAAATAGCACATCTGTCACACAGAAAGGGAATCCAGCCAGCAGAGAGGGAGAGCAGACCAACCAAAACAACTGCTATTCCGATACATGATTACAGAATTAGGATTTTTGCCACCGTGTGTTTGGATATTTTTGTTTGGAGCTTTTAAAATTAATAGATGTCTGATTTTATACATGCCAGTATATATAAACTTAAAAGATTGTTATGTATAGATTCATTTTGAGTGTTTTTTTTCCTTAATGTTAATCTCTTTGTCAAATATATGTTATTGGGCCTGTCGCACTCTGTTTAAAACCATGGGAGAGCTCCTAGAAATCTGTAGAAGGGAAAATTCGGATCTTTTTAGCAGTGTTAAGTTTACAGGTACCGTATTACAGCATAGGAACCAAGTGCTAGGTTTGCTTAAAGATAATGATTTCCTGAAAAAGGCAGATTTGAGCAGCATCTCAGTAAATATATCTGCTCCTTCATGCTTGCGGTAAGCATTCCCATTCTCTCAGAACACAGTTTCACCAGAGACACAGCAAGGTGTTTTACGACTCAGGGAATAGCAAAAGCTTGCCAGTAGTGAACACAGCAAAGAAATGAACAGAGGAATGAGCTTGTCCAAATCTTTATGCATACCTCTCACTTTAATGGTTTGTTTCTAGTGCTTAGTAATAATTTTCCAGGCTTAGACTTCCAAGGATTTTGCTTCAGATTAAACACAATTTCAGGTCAGAAAACAGATTCTAGGCCGTTCTACAGCTGCATCCTGTGTAACTTGGTAAATCAGTCCAAAACACTGCACTTCCAGGTTGCACACAGTAGGCCCAGATTTTGTGGAGATATTTACACACTGTATTGTGTCTCAGTCAGAAGCTTGGGTTTAAGCTCCAGCCTGATCTGTGACCAAACTGTGAACAGTCTCAAAACGAGGCGCCGGTTTTCTGGAATCTTGACTGGCCTCTCCTGGGCCAGAAGCATGTCAGCCCATGGCATGAGCTTGTATCAGTTCTTCATTCAGTCAGCTTAAAGAGGCTATTTCAAGTATCCTCACTGGATCTCACAGGCCATTTGTACTGTAAAGCTTTTCCACCGTAAAGCTTCCTACTTGTAAATATGATTCCTCAATTTATCACCACTCTAGGGCAACAACATCTAATCTCTCCTTACATATGACAGTTTACCTAAATTGGTGAGGATTGAGGAGTCCCAGTGTCACTTTGTATTCCAACTTGTGGTTTACTGTTTCTCAGATGAAACATCTTAATCCCCCAGATAGATCATCTGGGTAGCAGAAGCAAAACTCCAGGAAACTGTAGTGATTTTAGTCTGACAGCACTGCCACACCATGTCATCCTAAACAAACATAAGAGGGCAGTCTGGTAGATTGGGAGCTCTGCCAAGGACAAACCTTGTAGAAATAAGTATCTGGAAGAAGACTAGCAGACTATGGGGGGAAAAATAAATAAATGACATATTCAGTTTTAAATGGATCAGCTTACTTCTGCTTTTGTTTGACATGGACCTATGCTGGACCAGAAGAGTAAATTGTCCCTCTAGCTATAGAGGACAGCTGGATTTGAGATTTATGCTCAATAAAGAAATGAATGAACAGAAATAATTGCAGACATTTTTTTTTCTTTAAACTGTCTGTCAAATAAATGAGCAACTCAGAAAACAAAGGATAGAATTAATCCCAGTCTCAAGAAACTGTAGTCAACTGCTCTGTGATACCATCCCTGCAAAGCAGTGACAAGGGGACATGAAGCACAGCTGGGAATGCAGGGTGGGAGTTTCCAAAAGTGCATACCGGTACTGTCCTCAGCCTTTCAACAAACCTGCTCTTGGAATGACTATTTCAGCCTCCTAATATAGCAGTATCGATTACATTTGTCTCTTCATTCTACTATACTACTGAAACAAACAAGCAAAAAAACTCCCAGCTGATGAATAACCATTTTGAAATTAATTTGAAAAATACCCCTTGGATCCTGAAGTAAATTCTCTGATCTAACACATTCAGAAAATCATCCACTTACTTTCATGCTGGAAATGCCTTCTCCTCCAAAAATCTACTGCTTGCTACACGACTTAGAAGATGCTGTCTTAATTACTGAAACCTCAACTAGTTGCTGTTGGGCTGTAGAAAACAAGCGTGAGAATGGAAGGACTGATTATAGAATCTAAAGTCTGCATTTCTAGAACGAAAGGCAAGCAATTTGTGTAAGCATGTTGCAAAAGTTGCCTCAAGACTAAATACTGACTGAATCATTTCAGTCTGTTGTGTCTGACAGTTCTCCCAGACAGTGCCACAATTACTTCTGTGTCTCTATATGGCTAGACAAGTTCTTCCTTTACT